ATTAAAATTCTTGTTTCTTACTTCAGAATGTTGTTAAGAGGTCTTCAGTTAAATGAGAATTGAGAGAAGTGTGCATTTTGATGGATTACATAATGTAAACCTGACAAATTAACTTATGGAGATACTTTGAGTGGCCTCTAATCATTATCTGAGATGCTTTGGCTAACGAAGAAAAAAAGGAACGATTATCCACTCTATAAGGACTTTGTACATATATTTGAGGATATGAATGAAAAGAGACACGAATTGCGAAAAAAGGGCCAGAGAGGAACTGGCTTTTGAACCCTGTGTTTTCTTTTTTAATCAAATTGAAAAGTAAACAATGATTTTCATTCGAAAATTTTTAAGAAATACCTAACTCCACGTAAATGAGGTTTGTATAGAATTGCTTTCCTATGAAGTAAAAAACCATTCAAATGGCTTCCTCACTCCACACGTCAAAACAATGCAAAAAAGCCGCTCTTTCAACATTTTCTTCTCATTTTGTGTTCCTCCTTTACATTTGCAATCGGACACAAAACCCTCTTCTAATACTCTTTCGTGTTGCTATTTACTGACACCTCTATATCGATTTTTTTCTCTGTTATCACAAAATATTGAAAGCTTGAAAAAAATAATACAGCATCCGAATTCAATTTATATTTAAATTCTTAATCCAGAAAAGTCATCTGCAGTCATGAGGACTGTAATTAGAAATAAGTAATTTATCGTTGTAGGTTTCTCTCAATGTTTGCATTTCAATCCGCTATGGGGTGATTAATTTTTAAATTCAAATGTCCAAGCTGTTATTTTAGTGGTTATTAGATGACATCGGGCTGCTCTTGGGTGACCAAAATACGTTATCCCAACATCAGTTGTTTTCTGAATTATACTTGTATAAGTCTTGTATTTCAAGGTTACTGGTATTCCTTTTTCAAAGAAAGATAAGGTTAACTCTCTCAACAATATCAACACTTCATCAAGGAAACAGGGATCGAGAAAAACGAGATTCAACATTAATCGATTAACCAGAACAAACTTTATTATAAGGGAAGGAACTTGTCCTTTCAATCTCGGTCCCAAACTATGTAGTGGACCGAACAAAATTATGGGAATTTTCATGATACATTTCGTTACCACAACCGAGTTAAAAAAGTAAATGTTTGAGAGTATGTTCTCAAAACAAGCAGGTATGTTCAAGCCTCCAGCAAAATAATTTTTTATAGAAAGCAAACGTCAATCAATTCGGCGAAGATAAAAACATAAACGAACATCATTTTCTCCTTGAATTAAGAACAAAGTTATTGCTTGTCACTGTTCCAAAATCTACCTGAATTATAGTTACAAATTTTTGCTGGCTTGATGTAGGCTTACAGTGAATGTTGAAGTGGCTCCAAGATAAGTAGCCCACCTTTAACTAACGATAAGTAACCAACATATCATTTCTGCTTTAACTGTTAATTATAAGACACTTAAGCTGGTGTCTGATGAAAATAAAGAAGATCGTCAACGTGGGGAGTCAATCGATCACAACGTCTCTGAAATTAACGATCAAACGGTCACAACTGTCCATTAATCCAGAGCAAATAATTCTGACGTTTTGAGAAGTAAAAGAAACCCAAAGTCCTAGTCATAGGCTTCGACGAGTCGGGTACCCACTGCTTTGGGAATGATGGAGACAAATTTACCCACACTTTCGAAAGGTGTACTTGGATAAAACTCTTAAACGAGCTCTAAACGGCACTCTAAAATCTCTCAGCATTGCATTCGACTGTCCAGCTCAAAGCGCGATTCATAGAATTCGTGAAATGGTCACAAAATCGAATTTTTTGCCTAATTTTCATGTTGCGTGAGCGATATTTTCCGAAGGAAAACGCTCAAATTCTTGTTAGGGGGCTACGCTCCCCGCCTCCCCCCCTGCTTCACCGCCTATGCTAATAATAATAGTTTGATAATTTCATGATTTATAGTGCGCTTTTTAACATACCAGGTCATCAAAAGCGCATAATATGGTACAACTTGTAATTATATTAAATTTCAAATCTGCGTTGACAATATCAACAACTGACTTTTACTGAAAGTATAGACACTCACATTAAAAATCCAGGAAAATTAAGCGTATCAACTTTACTTCTTTAGCAAACAACATTAAAACGGTATCTTGGTTGGCCATGTGGAGCTTCATCCTTGTTTTCTGTGAGCAACTCAGATGTTTATAGTCTAACGTGTTAAGCGATTTGAAAAAACTTTTTTCTAATGGAGGGAGAGAGGAGGCCCTATGGGTAGGGTGGGCGGTGAGGAAGGGAATGGAGATAATGAATGGGATATCCGTCGAAGGAGGCCAATGAAGGGTTAGAGGATGTACAATGAAAGCATCTGGTAAGGGATGAGTTGGAGACTACAACCTCTTGAAGATAAGTGTGTAATGCAACTGAAACTAGGCTTGTGAAATGGTGTGCATTACTTCTAAGAAGATGTCCAAGACGACCACAGTGTCCCATCTGAAGTCTAAATAAGGATCTGCTGTATGATTTGCTGACGCCTTCATTTTTGTCAGATTAAATTCAATTGGAATAAAATTAATTCAAATTCAACAAAATCATCTCAATGAAATATACTTACACGTAAAAGCCAGTAATAAACCAATTCTTAATTATCTTGCATACACCTTTTTCACAAGGAAACTAAATTTACGGTCTTAATTCTAAATCGACGGCAAGTTTTTCAGTCGAAATCGGAGACTCATTGGTACAATGGCTATACCTTAAGCCTGGTGAGACCCAGCCCTGATGTCTGTCACGTTATTGGGCAAGATACTTTACAAAGCGTCTGAGCTTATGTTTTCCTTTTCCTTTTCTTTTTATTACTTTGAATGCTGCGGAGGAATGTTTGGGTTTGCTAAAATCAATTTACCTTTAATTTTTTGGAATCGTCATTTGTTTTGTCCCAGCTCAAGCAAAGGTTGATCTTTGAGTACTGCTTCTCACTCTCTCTCTCTCTCCTATGCAGAGTATAAAACAAAGTAAATTGTATTTGTAATTAAGCTTTTTTTCAAATAGTCTAACATGTAATATATTGAGTCATTTTGCTCGCAAAACGGAGCTCGGCCTGTATGCAAGCGCTTGTTTTGTGTAATGACACACTCTTCCTTTCCCTTGGTCTTTACACAGCATTTAGAGTTTCTTTACGATAACCATTGGTTGTTTTTGTTACAACCAAACTAATTGGCTGGATGCAGTTATTGCAGGTTTGTTGGAGAATTCTAGACAAGCCCGAGAGTGGGAAAAAGTCCAAGAGTTTGATAAAGAACAAGTTCTCTCAGTTCCACAAGGACATTATGTGGAACTAAACTTTACCATGCGCAGCCCGTATCGAGGACGTTGTCTAAACGGTTCTTATC